ATGCAAATAGTGTAACAGCCGTTAACCGCAGAAGCGTGGAACCCACCTGGGCTGAACCAGTCCGAGGTGGACGTGGGCAGACGCGTATACCTGTCTCCGTAGCACTTCCCTCGTGCGCGCGCACCCTTTTCGCGCGAATGTGACCAATTACTGGACGCGTCCCCACTATTTCTATTTTCCGTCGATTTTCCCGCGATCGGCGGAAAGAGCGACTCCTTTGCGTCCTCGGGATATCGGTATCGATGTCGCGACAGGACGCACGCGGCCACGGGATGGGGTAAGGTCGAAAGGCGTCGCGACGCCGGCGCGACATCGTTGCAGGTGTCAAAGCGGAACGCCCAGGCGGTGCGCCCATTAAACCGGAAACCCGAGAATCCCGGAGCGGATGAGCCGCGAGGGAAACGCGACGTCGACTGGCGTGACTATCGGGTGGTGCCGACGTTGACGAGAAAAGCACCGAAAAACGGGGAGGAATTAAGGCCCCGCGATTCCGCCGCGCGGAAAGTAGCGCCGGCGAGCGCGGAACGCAGTCGCGCGGCCGTAAGTAGGATATGCCTACTTAGTATCGGGCTGGCCGCGTTTTACCGGTGAACTTTCACATTCTGATTGTACGGGCCCCGAGCTCCGTCGTTGGGCCCCACGGCGAGCGGGCCCCGAGAGGTCGGTCCGTTTACCGACCTGGAAGGCTCGGAAATGGCCCATTATTTCCCCCTAGGGAAACGCGGAATTCCGTCGAATCGACCGACATCGACTCGATAAGGCTACTAAATAATTTATAGACTCCCGCTCGCCGCGGATTATCTCTTCCGAGGGTCCCAGCGTTTTGGGCCCGGTCCCGGATTTCCTTCCGGAAGTCCGTCGGGCCCCGGAGAGGGCTCGGAATCCGAGGAATTCAAGAGGAGTCGATTCCGCGCGAGTGGTCCATCCGTCACGGGGCCAGTCGGGGCCCGCGGCGTCGCGCGTTTTCCGCCGCGTCTCCGCCGCGCGCGCGGGTCCCGCCTCTCGTCTCGCGCCTCGCATCAGTCAACTTCCCTATATTTACCCGTATAATCTCTTTCCGTGCATTAAAATACAAAGTAGCGCATTACCATGACAAAACTGACGGGTCAAGAGGGCCTGACACCGTCCGAAGGGGGATTACAATCGGTCGCGGTCGATGCATATTCAGCGGTGCAAGGTCTTCCCCGCGGAATATTCTCTCCCCCCTCGTCCCTCGTCTTCCGTGCGAACGAGCGACGGGCCCCGCCTGGACAGAGCCTTAAGGTGAAGTGAAACACCTCGAGAAATTTGATCTAAGTCGTTAAAAAAGATTCTTCCAAATACCGACAGCTTCGGGGTAAATACAATATTTTTTTTTTCTCGACAAATTTCATTTTTCGGTTTGGAGAAATGTTTGTTAAATCTACTTTGACTTTCTGGTATATATGGAATAACCCTTTCATATCACCTTAAGTCCCCGTATTCTGGGCCTCACGGACTCGCCTACTAGGAGGGGGATCGCGATAAGCGGCAAGCGAAAATCGAAAAATGGGACCGAGGGGGTTTTAACGAGTCGGAGACTCGAAATCCGCGGAAACCGGATGCGGGACTCGGGGCCGGATTGCGGATCATTTCCCGGGCCCCGAGGAAGGGCCCCCGCTAATTGATTAAAGTCACGATCCGACCCTTCCCGTAATATCGGCAATCTCCGTCGGGGGGTCCGGCCCCCCTGCCCCCTCCCGCTTTCTCGACCGTTCCGGATAACAATACCTAATTTCGGTTAATACGCCCGTAATGGCCGCACCGAGTCAAACACCCGCTACGGAATTCTAATTGCTATCGCTAACTATTGCGGCTCTCTTTTTCCGCTGCCCCCCTCGCTCTCTCCGCGGCGGAATCGCTCGTCGCTCTCGCTCGCCTCGGGGGTGGTCGCCGCGGCGGACGCCGCGAGGGAGCGAGAGAGGCGATCGCTCGCGATCGCGATAATCGCGAGTTATCTTCCGCGAGGGGTGAGGCACGGGGACCGGGAACACGACGAGGTCGGGTCCGGTGGGCCCTAGGGCCCGCGGATCCGGCCCAAAGGAGGGGGGACGATATACGCCAAAGAATGACCGAGTGCCCGTAATAATTCAATTCCTTTTCGCGGTAAACGTCAACGTTTGACGCGGATACTTGTATCAATAAAAATATATGGCACGCCGTATATGAATGAAAAAAAAAAAAAAAATTTTTTTTATATAAGATTGCGTTTCATGAAAATCTTTAAATTCATAATAAAAATCGGTTCGTACTCGCGACAAAGGAAACGAGGATTTCTTCGGGAGTCCCGCCGTTTAACGTCCGACTTCCTTTCGCAACCTGCGACGAGATCATTTAGCGTTCCCGCCGACGCGCGTCCTTCGAGCCGAGCCGAGCCGGGTCGGGCCGACTCGCGTTCTCCGGGGCACGGTTCGGTGGTTCGATTCAGACTGATACGAGGTTGTGCAACGGCCCCTCGTAATTATAACGGGCGTGCACGGGTCATTTGATAATGACTTTCTGAATGCAGGTCTCGCCGGCGCAGAAATGAGGGTTATTTGCTCAAGGGGGCCCCCCCTGCCCCGCGCGTTTCCCGGGGCCTTTTTGCGGGTCCCGAACGCTCGCCGGGAAATCACTCCCCCCTTTCGCGTTTCCAGAATCCGAGATTACCCTGCGATTGCGGGGGAAACGGAGCGTCTCGGCCGCGGCGGATCGCGTGTGCCTAACCTAGGGGGGGCCGCACATCGCGGAAACCTCGCGTGCCCGGGCTCCCTTCCACGGGGAAATTCTGGGCTCCATGGAAAGGGGGGGGTAAAAAAAAAATGAAGAGGTATATCCGAGTTATCGCGACGAGACCACCGATGGGTCCTGGCTGGGGGGATTTCTCTCGCGAATCGCGGGCCCCCCGTTGGAGGGGGCAATTAAGGCTTAATTAAATCGAGCGGCTTCCTAGATTTCCGTAATCACCGCGGACAGTATCTGCGAGGGGTAATCTCGGGCGCATCCTGTCTGGCTGCGGGGCCCGAGGAGGCCCCTTCCTTCCGCGGGCCCCGGGCCCCGAGCCCCGGGCCCCGGCTAAGGTCATGCACCCCGCTGACCTCGGACCACCGTCTCCTCCGCCCCCGCCCCCTGGCCGGTCGGCCTCCCTTCCCGGCTCGTCCCTCTCTGGGCCCTGGGCCCCGGGCCCCCCGGGCCCCTCGGGCCCCTCGGGCCCCAGACGTCCGGCCAGCGTCTCCTCGTTTCCTCGCCGACTCGACGGCCGATCCTCTCGTTTCGCGGGGCCTTCTCGCGTGCCTCGGCTCGACTCGACTCGACTCGGCTCGGCTCGGCTCGGCTCGAATTATTATCAAACGCGCGGTCGCAGGGCCTTATAATGGGCGGATGTCGCCGTGACACGGCCGGCACGGGAGGGAAAAAAGAGGAAGAGGGAAACGGGCCTCGAGTGGCGCCTGTGGGAAACTCGAGTCCGGGCATTTCGCGGACCCGGGACTGGGCCCCTCGCGTGTCGCGGGAGTCGCGACACCGGATAAGGCCCATCTTGCTCTCTGCATTTTCGCGGAATCCCGGGGGCGCCTCCTCGAGGAGTCAAAGGGACTTTCGAGGGAAGTCGAGAAAATTGGGCCCGGTCCTGCCTCCAGGCCCTTGACGAAATATTTATATAACTTTTCTCCAAACCGGTGGCATCGAATAATTTTCAAGCTTCAACCCGTGCTTATATATAACCCGTACACGTTTGAACGATCGACACCTCGGATGCCACTTTCACATCCCCTCGAAAAGAATGAAAGTGTGAGAGAAGTCATGGACTCGTCGGGCCCGATTTTCTGCCCTCGCGCGCAGGGGCCCGATAGGGCCCAGAAATGGGGTCTCGTCGCGGCGACACTGGGCTCGTGATATATCCGAGCCCGGCGTGCCCAACTTAAACAAGGTCAGATTTTATCGCGCCGCGAAGAACCGCGGCCGGAGTGGCGGGATAGAAAAAGAGAGAACGACGCGGGGAAGGAGGGGAGCGAGAGAGAGGGCCTAGGTAACGAGGCCGAGCGAGCAGGAGAGGCGTGAGAACCTGTCCGGTCTTTCCGCACTGGTCCCGCAATTAAATGTTTACCTATACACCGATGAACCCGTTCGGCACGCTCCGGCCGCGCATGCGTGCGCACTCGATCCTCGATACTCTCTCCGAAGGTTTTCGGATGCGCCGAGCAACGTCGAGAAACGAAAAACGAAGAGCAGAAAGGAAAAAGGGAGGATATCCCCCCTCCGCCCTTCCCAACTATGCAGGCACTTAATAATTGCGATTTGCCCGCTCGTACATCCCCGCGATGCGGCCTTAAGAGCGCGTCTCTGGCCACATTCCAGCACGGCTTCGTCAGATTTCCTCTCGTATTATTTTATTGTAGTTTTCAAGAAAAGAGAGGAAGATCCTCTCCGAGTGTCCGTAGAGGACGGCAGGTGCAGTGGATCGCAATTAAATGCTCTTAAATCACTAAAAGCCCTACCACGCCGAAAGCAGGCAAAACGGAGCGAGAAATACTCTACGAAAAAAATATCAATTAACCGAAGAAATATTTCTTTAATACAAGAATAATTATTCGCCTGAAATAAGCTCACGTGAATTGTGATAACTTCCAAAGAAACCGTGTATCCAATTTATTCGAGTTTATTTTCATGAAATAATTATTTTTCGAATTACATGTTTCATCGATACCACTCAAAGAAACATTTCCCTGGTTCAATGAAACGTTCCATTCAAGGTACTCGAGTCATTTCACTCGATGCATTGTGTGCACTTTCGAGCCTGCATGGGATGCACCTCCTGCACCTTCGGCGTGGCGAGGCGCTTCGAGGGGAACCAAGCACGGAGACGTGTCTTTTTATAAAAATGTAACGTAAAGGAGAAGTCAAAATGGATCTCCGGTAAAAACGTTCCGAATGGACGCGATCTCCGTGCCAGCTTCACGGCCTCGTCCTTGGTCTAATAAAGTAGTTGAAAAAGGGTTCAGTACAATGCATACCTTCCCGGCGCATGCCCATCTTCAGGCACTTCTTCAGGCGGCAGAACTGGCATTGGTTCCTATGGTGTTGGTCGATGGGACAGTTTCGGTTTCCTCGACACGAGTACGTCAGGTTCCTCCGGACGCTCCTCTTGAAGAAGCTCTTGCACCCTGCAAAAGACAAATTATCGATTCAGCAAGATATAAGAATTAATTTCAAGAGCTTTCATTCTGAAAATGAAAGAAACGAAAAAAAAAAATCATTAATTTCTGTACACATTCTTTTTTTTTTTTTCAAGTAAACATATTCCAACGTATATTTTTATACACGTATATTTTCCACATGCCTACATTTCCACGTGTGCGCGTTCCCGTGCGTGCCGTGCGTGTACGACACCGCGGGGCGCGCGGACGTGCATCCCGAGGTCCGAGCCCGTGCACGTCGCGCATTCCAGCCGGAGTAGTTACACGCACGTAATTCAATCCCGCAGGATCCCACGGCGGGGAAATGATGACTCGCGGGAGATGCGGCCGCACGTTTTGCGCGTTTCACGTCGGCGGTCCGACCGGCCCACGTGAGGGGTATCGTCGGCGCGACCGGGACGAGCGAGAGAGCTGGGCCTCGGTGGGCCTCCCCAGTCCTTCCCAGACTTCCCTGGGTCTTCCAGGGCCTCGCTAGCCCAGCCGCGGGGGCCGGAACAATGACACGTGATTACGCAAATTCTGCAACGTGCACAATGCAACCGAGCCACCGCACCTCGGGGTTAACTCGTAAAGAGAGCGGCTTCCACGCGAGAGGCCTCACCGTTATGAGAAACTCCGACTCCCGAGATCGACATTCTCAAGTTCGATCCGAATTGATCATCTCGCGGATCGTGGAATCCCTCGAAATATTTCTTCGGTACAATGACATTCTTCTCCCGTGCAGGAACCTCGAGATCTTCCTCTCGGTGAAATTCTCCGCGCCCCTCTCCTGCTATTATCGCCGATTGAGCAGACGGCATTCCGACGTCGCGACTTCCGAAGGGGGTTCATTTAAAGTTATAATCGCCGGGAGAAACGGCCCCGAAGGTGTGACGCGGGATTCGATTTAACAAACGTAAACCTGGGCGATAAATCCGCGCCGTAAACGCGAGCGCGCCGACGTCGGGTCAAGGGGTCGCGCGGAGGAGCGCGAAGGTGCGTCGCCTCGACTGACAATTAAACCATGGAGCATTATGGTATAGAAAATCGTGGATTTTACTACTCGAGATCGCGCAGAAATCAACTGGAAATCGCAAGCAGAAATCTCTGAAAATCGTTGGAAATGACCGTATAAATTGTTATAAAAAAAAAAAAAAACGTGTTTTCAAATTATTTAAATCTTCCTCGAGAAAAGGCGTCCCTCCGACGAGGGGTTGACGCCGAAGAAGCCCCGCTCTCGAGGCGACGCCCCCGCGGCCACTCCTCGGGGGAACGAGGTCAAGCGTCGCGACGACACGGCCGGTCGCGACGGGTCGCGGAAAACCGCACGCGGCGGGTTAGATCCGATTGGAAACCGCACGAGAACTGGCCGCTACTTTTCCGCTCCGTCGACTCGCCCTCGCCCTGTTAGTCCGCGTACCGAGTTCAAATCCGCTCCAATTTGCGGCGAGAAAACCGCGACGATTGTCGCAACCGGCGCACGCGGAAGAACAGCGGCGATACCGCAGGTGCATGCAAACGATCGAGCTCTTCCCATGTTTTTTGAGCGGCTGGGAAACGCGTCGCGCGGGGTTTGCTAAAACGTCAGCGGAGTCTTCCGCTCGCGCGGCCTCGTTGCGGCGAGCGCGTTTTCCTTCGAGTTGCGACACTCGTCCCCCGCCCGATCGATTGGCCTATCGATCGATTCCGCCGATCGGGCAAAGTCGAACGAAGTCGCGAAATCGCCGCCGCGTGTTAGAGCCGACCTTTCTGCGTCTAATGAGAAGTTGATTTAATTTTAATAGGTCGCGTTTATTATAATGGCCCGAGCAATTACCGGCGGTGCATTCGCGGGTCCCCCGTGAGCGTGACCGCGCGGAACGGCCGCAGGTTGGGAAGGGACACGAGAGGGCACGAAGGTGATCGCCGACGTGCCCGATTCTTGTGTCCCGGACGCGATGGGCATTCCGGTACGTAGGGTGAATTTCACGTTTTTTATCATTTTAGGCAATTTAATGATTTCGACCATTTTTATGAATTTGACGATTTCAACCGTTGTAATAAATTCAACGGAATCATTGGGTCGAGTGAAATTAAGAACAGAGAATTCTCTCGAGTTTATAAAATTACGCAACCCAACTATCTAATAAATTAACGCGTTAATGTCGCTAATTATTTCGGACCCCATGACCGTAAAGGTCTACGTGGAAATATTCGCGGCATGAAAACAACTGGAAGTCCCAACATCGGGACTCCGGAAAACGGACGCTCCCCGAGGGGCGTTCCGCCGTGCGGAGCCAGGTTGAACGCGGATTTTTAACGACGCGGGAGTTGCGGGAGAAAAGGAGAGGGAACACAACCGAGCGAATTACGAAGAGCGAGACTAATGGCCATTACACGCGCGCGAGAGGAGGCGAGCGCGGTCACGGAACGCGTTTCCCATTCGCCGCGGCGCTGGCGATATTTTAATCGATGCGGCAGATAATCGATCTTCAATTTTTCCGATCGAGTCGGATGAAACTCCAGATCGCTCCAAATCCGCGAACGCGCGAAAAATCGCCCTTCCTACGTAGATCGACGGTACGCGTCATTGGCCTCGACACTGTCGATATCGTAATCGATCCTCAATTTTTCCGATCGAGTCGGATCAACCTGCAGATCGCTCGAAATGCGCGAATGATCGCCCCTTTCTCCGCATATCGGCGATACGCGTCGTTCGTGCGCGGTGAATCGTGAAATTCGATGGACCAACGGGTTTCTCTCCGCACGCGGGATTTCTCTCGCGGGGACGCTCCTTGCGGGGGAAAAACTCGACCGCCTCTTCCTGGAGGCTAAAGAAGAGAGGCAAGGAAGAAGAAACCGAGCCCGGACCATCCTCCACCATAAATAAATAAATATAGAAATAACTAACAGGCTCCGAAGAAACGGCGCCGGTTTCCCTGGCGGTGGAAAAATTCGGCTCGTAAAGGTTTCCTTCAATTACGCCGCACGGGGCGCTCGGGCCGTAAATCGCGGTTTAATTGAATTATCCGCGAGAGACGTCGCGCGGAGAAAAACCAGTCGATTTCCGATACCGTCTCCCCTCCCGAGAAATCCCTCTCCCTCTCTTTCTCTCTCTCGAGACTTCCAGGTGCCTTCCGAGATCTCATCCAGATAAATCGATGAAAAAGAATTCCCCATCGGCACTACCTCGTGATCCCGAAGACATTTTCAGCTACGGTACCATCTGACATTTACAGACACGTCACCGCTAACGGTCCACGTAAGAAATTAAATTCAACAGGATTGATCCCTTAATGGGACATTTTTTAACCGTACCGCGAAAAACGATTTTCAAGGGATAGGCTAACATTAAGGCTCTTATCATTCTCCGCGTCACGTTTGTCGCGGTAAGGAACGTATCTCGGTATCGACCGTGAATTCTTCTTTCCGCGTGAGAGATCGCGCCCGGGTAATCGATTAAAAAATGGTCCTCGATCGGAGTCTCGAGACGTCCCTCGCGAGACAATGGCCGCTCGTGCGCATCGCGTCGTCGGGACGCCGTAAGCCTCGCGTTACCGAGCCTGATGACGGTGGTTGACGACGGCGATGGCGGTCCGTCGTCGCCTGGAATGGTTATGGCCCGCGACTTATAATACCCGGGCATCTCCTGGCACGACTTAAGCACCGCCCTGTGCACGAGCCTCGCCCGCGTGCAGCCTGGCCTCTTCGCCGATTATAAACCGTTCCGAGCGACCCCTTCCTCCCGGATGCCTTCCCGAGGCGAGCGAGATTTCCTCGACGAACCTGCGCCTCCGAGCGGGACTCTTTACGGACGTCCACCCGTTTTCATTGCCAGGACTCTTTACGGCCTCCCCCCACTTTCGTTACCTATCCCCATCGGTTCCTAACCACGCGAGAAAAATCACGTCCTCTCCGCGAGATTGGGAATTTCTCGCGGTAAATTTTCCAGAAATTTATTGCCGCGAATGAGATCTCGCCGCGTCGAATTTCCGGAAGAATTCCGGAGAAAAGAGCGGAAGAGGGAAGAAACGGAGGGACTACCGGTCAGTGGCGTCTCGTCGGTGCAAAATTAACGACATTGTTATAATTAATTAGACCCCGTTATTGCAGGGTAACCCGCGATGCGTGCGCGGCTTCGTTAGCGGGATAATTGGTCACAGAGGATGCGTCCAGGTGAGTCGGTAATTCCACCTGGCGCGCAGCCTGGAGCCGTGAACCGCGAATCGTCGACCAATAAAAGAAAAGTGCCCTCCCGTCAAGACATCGGCAGAAAAAAATCCCACCTCTCGACCGATCAAAACGTGGCGCGTCTCACCTTTCCGAAAGCGATCGGCAGGTAAAATCGGAATTCGTCCGGCCTTCACCCTCTCCCGGGGGGAACTCTAGAACTCGGAAAAAGTCGGCCAAGTGCGAGTGAATCCCTCCCCAGGAGAGGGGGGAGAATCGCGTTTAAGTGCGCCCCCCCAACCGCGGGGGCAAATGCCTCCGACAATTAGGAACGCGATACGCAGCGACTCTTTCTCTCTCTCTCTCTCTCTCTTTCTCTCGCGGTGCCCGCGCCCCTTGGAAACGAGATTAATAAAGATTAACAAAGTCGGAATAATAGAATATGATCTCATTAGACCGATTAGCCCGCGGGGCCTGCAGGATGTCTGGCTTCCCGGCGGGCCGTAGGGTAGACGTAAGTCCGTAAGTCCGTAAGTAAGCGCAAGACGTTCGCGGGGGGAGTGGGGTCGTGGAGGGGGCGACCGGATACCCGGTCGCGAAGCCCTCGAGAGGGAGCGAAACCGAGAAAGAGAGAGACGGCGATCTCTCTTTCCGTACATCCCCGGAAGACCCTCGCGATCGGTGCGAATTTTTTGGGCCGCAAATCATATCGTCGGAAATTTTTCCGAGTATAAATTACTCATCGCGAAGAAAAAATCCTGCGATCGAGTACGTCGAGAGAAACGGAATTGGGTAAAGGAAATTTCTTTTAAATCAACGTGAATCTTCCTCCTCGGTAAAATAATTGTCTCCTGTAATTGTATACGATTCCGCCAAGAACGTCTATGTCAACGATATGCGTTTCAGTCAACTATTCCTTCTTCATCGTGCAGGACGTGGAGGCATCGCAGGATTAATGTCAAAGTACGGTCATGTAATTTTTAATTTTCGAGGATCTCATAAAGGGAGTCTCATTATTTCGTCCCCAGGGGGGGGTCGGGCCCGTTACTCCCGGCATTGTCGGGCGAGGAGACGACTCGGCGCATAATTCGCGGGTACTCGCGGCAGAAGGAGAGCGCGCGTTTCCGCGAGTACCCTCCGAGGTGTAACGTGACCGGCACCGACGTCACGTGTAATCCACCGCGAGTAATGTCCCGTCTTAAGCACTGGTTTACCCACACACCGCGGTAATTACTATGATCCTGGAGACGGATACTCTCGAGCGACGTCCGTGCGTGGTCGAGGGCGGCCCGCTCTCCGCGTCGTTCGATATCATCGAAGGTGGACGAGAGCTCGATTTCACCAAAAGTTAAAAAATCGTCGACTCGGCCAAAGGATCGAACCGATTGGATAATTAATCAAAGAGATATCGAGACGGAAACGCGTCACCCCACCAGAGAATCCCGGAAGAGCCGGAGCCCGGCTTCGACCCAACTCGGAACGAGCTTCCGGTTGCGGTCGCGGTGCGGTCGAGTCGCCGCGGAACGACTATTACGGAATACCCGGAGACGGGAAACCCTGTTCCTCGGCGCGCTACCCAGAAGGGGAGGACCCGGGGATCCTGTAATCGGCAGATTAATGTCCTCGCGGATCCCGAAATCAGGCGGGGGCGAGTCCTGGGGGAGTCCCGGGAGTCCCGTGCCCGCGGCAGGACGCGACTCGAAATAGAGGATCGGGACCTCGGAGAGGTACGCAAGGCACGGCGGTGCTCTCGCGACTCGGGCTTTTCTGATTTACTGCCTGGAGGAACGATCGTCCATCGGCACGGAGGAACGGGGGGTCCGAGTCGAGTCGGAAGCTCGTAAAACTCGGCCCCCGAATTAAGGGTCCGCCTTTACGGCCGGGCCTTAGAAATTCTACGGGACGTCCCCGTCGCGACAGGATTTCGGACTTATCTCCCGTGCTTCTCTCGGAAACTCGGTACCTGGAAATCCCGGAACGTCGAATTTGGGAATCAGGCCCAATATGTCGGGACTCACGGGTCCTCAAAACGCGGAGTGCATTACCCCTTGTCGCTGGATCTCGAGTCCGACGACTCCGCGAAATATCCTCGACGCGACGAGAATCCGACGCCCCCGTCACTCCCACTTGCGAGAAATTCGCGTGGCAGGATCCCAGGCTCCGAAATCCACGCACCGGGCCCGCCTTTCCAGAAGTCGCGGAAACCGCCTTGCGAGGTCGCGGGCCCCGCACTCCCGTCCATTATCCACGGTCAGTTGACCACGGGCGGACCAGTTTCCTGCGACGGGCCCGATGCGGTTCCCAGGGGACGCGACCGGGCCGCATAATGCGTGCCGAGGGGCCCTTTAGGCGGATTTCGCAAACCGGGGGAACGGGTCCGGTTTCGGTAGGCGGAACGGCCCGTTGGCCGACCGGAAAAGACCGCGGGGTCATTAATCAAATCCCGAAGCGTCCACTTCCTAGCGTCGTCCCGCCGCGGAGCGCGCGGTTCCGTCGCCGGGCGTTCTCGCGCCCTCGTAAAAATCCGGATTTATCGCCGCTATCCGCGCCCATCCGCGCCCATCCGCGGGATGATCCGGGTTCTGCTTTAATTATATAGCCGACGTTTATCTCTGGGAGCGGTTCGATTTGTAGCCGCGATAATTGGAGGCCACCTCGAGAGAGAGAGGGAGGGAGACAGCGGCCAGCGCCCTCTGCCCGATAAACGCAAGATGGCGGAATACACGTTAAGGAAAGGTGTAAAACCGTTGACAGTAATTGTATAAAATATGTTGCAAAAAAAATAGCGTGTTTCACCTGTTCAAACAAAAAAAAAATCGTGCGTGGATGAACGTTAATTTTTTACCCCGTCCACCCTATTTCCACTAAAATTACGCGGGTAAATCATGAATTCCGCTACTTTGCGTTTATCCGGTGACGACAAGATTCCGGGACGGATCGTCGCGAGAAGGAGCGCTAAATTCCTGGAACGACGCGTGCGCATCCGGGATGCGCAGCGTTCCGCATCGGACGTTCATTGGCGTAATCGCGCTGATTGTCGGCGATCGCTTTATTACGTGGACGGATTGATTTTGATGTCAAGCGATGTCAAACGACCGGGAATTATCGTCAATTTGTCGGGCAGCCGCGTGACGCGCCAATCGGGGGGCGGCCCCGATTATCGCGAAGTGCGCGTGCGCGGTCGCGAAATTTCAGGAACATCCGCAACGAGTTATCGCCGAATATCCGACGGTTCGACCATCCGTCAGAGTGCGGCTCGAGAGCGGATTAAACCGTGGTTTCCACTTCGATCCCCTCGTTCCCCCGGGACCCCCCATAAAAGGGATTCGCCAGACCGAGAGAGATTAAAATTAGAGCAAAATCGGACCCAAGATAACTGAGCTTGATTGCAAATATCGTCTCTGCACCTCGAGAGTGCAAAAAAAAAAAAAATACAGGACTGGAGGTAAACGTGGGATTCAACTCGCGGGCACCGATGTCGATGTCGGTCCGCGGAATATCGCGCGCTTCCACGTCGCCGAGCCGTCGCCGCAAAATGTCGGTTGAAAAGGGAAAAAAAGAGGAAAGATAGGAAGAAAAACCGCATCTCGTTCTAACTGGGGCAATCTCCCAGGTTTTGTCGCTCGCCGGGCAGGAAAGTGCTCGATCGACCTGCAAAGTCATCGGCAATCGCAACGAGCTACCCTCGACCGGTCGCGGAATTGCCGTATCCGGGATACCCGCGATTATCCGCGACATATCCGCGATATATTTCTGGATTTGGATTTCTTATCAGCCGATCACAGGGCGGCGATAAATCATCCCCGAAACGTAAATCACCGTGGCAATTTCGTATCAATAAGAGGCCTAATCCGGAACGATAGGTCGTGGCCATTGGGGGACATAAATTCCGATTTCGCCGTTCTCTGTAGATTCCGATTAAGCGGCGGAGCACTCTTTGCGCGGTCCAGAGCTGGATGCACGCCACAATTCTTCGTTACCCGGATACGTCGGAGTCCGGCTGCGAGATCTTCACCCCCTGGGAGGAGCTCCGCTATTTTTTATTTATCGGGCCTAGAGTTCGCCCCGCGTCGTTATCCACCGACAGGAAAAGAGATTCACGGTCGCAACAAGAAACTGTACCTGCAGGGATATTTCTCTTACATCGACGAAACAATTGCTTCGCGGAAAAACCGGGGGAAAAATACATACCCCATCCCTCCCTTATTCCTTTCAAGGAAAACTTCAATTCACGGATTATAAGGGTAGTTCGTTTCCGGAGGTTAGGATTCTCTCGGTAGACCCCAACCTGCCTGAATTACATCGTTATTAGTCCCTTAACGGACTCGTAAGCGGTCCGCGAACACCCCACCGGGTTATTAATGGGTGGCTCTTTGTTTTTTTCCCCGGGTCCTTTTTTTCCTCTCCGTGTTCCCCGGAGCTCCCCGGAGCGGGGCGCATAAATTAACGGAGCCCTCGGCGCCGCGACGGCGAGCATCTCGTCCGCGGGAAACAGGTGAGGATGCCCCAAGGGTGACGTTCCCGGCGACCGGGACCCCCCATGGAGTCGAGTCGTCGTCGGGTCTCTCTCTCTCTCTGTTTCCGCTCGTCTTTGGAGCCCCTCGTCGAGTTACGGCTCTTTACGCAACGAGGGCTTCCTTCGAGTCAACGGACGAGACGCTTTTTCGCGAGTCCTTCGACGAGGTTATTTCCACGTCGCAACAATTTATTCTCCTTTGAGTTAAATAATTATTCTTCAATTTAACGAAATATTTCATCGGTTCAATGTGATTTTTTTCCCAGGACACGATACGTCCATTAATCGGGGTTCACTCGGAAGGACCGCGTCAAAATAAATAGAACATAACATTCCAGACCTAAGTAACAATCCACGTCGCAATTTCCCGCAATCCCGGGATACATTGTTTACATCGTATTCACAATACGTCCATACTATGTTCACCTCGCAAGAACACCTCGAAATAAATCAACGATGCCAAAACGTTCTCTACACCCAGGGTCAATTTTCGCTCATATGCAAATCTCTCTACCCTCTTCCCCGATTCTCCACCTTCATCTCTCGATGCTAATCATGGCACTGATCATCCCGTTCAATTTGCGTTTATCAAATGAGACACACAGGAATATAACCGAGAATGTTCCGGCAATGCAATCTCTTCGGCGGCACAACGATCACTCGAACTTAGAACAATTGAAAGCAAGTCGAATCTCGTTGAAAAATGAAATTCCGAAAAATAGCTATAAATTCGCCGAGAATCGAATCACCGGGGACATTCTCGTTACGTAGCGCACTGTAAACTCGAGGGTCGAGCACGCACCTTCGCAGGTGAACTGGCCGTAGTGCTTCCCGCTGCTCTTGTCCCCGCAGACGACGCACTCGATGTTGGGCGACTTGTCGGTCTGGGAGCTGCCGGACTGCGAGCTGTTGGCCTGGCTGCCGGGGGTGGTGCTGGGCGGCAGGGGGTCGCGGGGGTCGCGGGGGTTGAGGACGGCGCCGGAGGGCACGAGGCAGGTGATGTCCTCGGGGGTGGCGGAGGGCGTCAGGTGGGTGGCGGGCGGCATGGGCGGGGGCCCGACCTGGAGGGGCCCGCTGGCGGCCGCCGCCGCCGCGAGGTCCCTCGAGGCCCAGGAGGGCGGCGGCGCCACCAGCGCCATGGAGGCGGCGGTGCCGCGCGGCGGGAACCCCAGCTCCAACGTGGTGAACTCGGGGGGTGGGTGTGGAGGCACCCGGCCCGGGAAGAGCGTCGCCGTCGCGGGCGGGTAAACCACCCCGGCAGTCGCCAGGGCGTCCGCGCCGACCGACCCCCCTCGAACCACCCTGGCGAGGATGCGGTCCTGTCGCCCCGGTCGCTCTGCGCTCCCTAGGACGCGGCGCGGCCCTCCGGGGCCGGAGGCCGCACCGACCGCGTCGCCTCACCGGCGGATCCACGCGGCACGGTCCACCGGCCGGCCTGTCTCATTCGAAGCCACGACCCGCACCTCGCTCGCTCGCTCTCGCGCACCCTGGCCGCGCACTCGAAAGGCCACGGGTTCGCCCCGGGACGCGCCGCGCTGGAGACCGCCGAGACCGCTACGACTATTCCCGCGGCCGACCAGAGACCGACTGCCGACTCCCGCGACCCCTGACACCGACCTGCTCCCCCCACCCCGAGCCGCCGAGCCGGTTTCTCGCGGCCCGACCGTTGCCATGGCGACCGAAGGTGGGGTCGAGTCCCGGGCAAGCCCCGTGACGCCTCTCATTGGCCGCGGGGCCGGCTCGAGCCTCTCTCTCCTTTGACACCGGCCTCCCTCCCCCGCCGACCCGGCGACCCCTCCCGAGCCCTCCGACCCCACCCCGACCCCGCCGAGCCTTTTTATCGCCCCCTCCCCCTCCCCCGCACTCCCCCGCACTCCCCCGTGCCTTAAATCGCCGCCACTAACGGACGAGATCGAATACGATTTACGGAAGTCGAACGTTTTCCGAAACGAACCGTATCCCGGAAGAAATCACGTTTGCACTTCATCCGGAGAAAAATAAAAAATTCAATGTTCCGGAAGCCCATCCGCAGGAAAACCGTCTCGTTAACGGATTAATCCAGGCAATTTTATTTTTCTACGCGGACAGGTAGTGGACACGTTTCTATAAAAGTCAGCCGTATCTGTAGCTGAAAATGTCCGATTACGTTAATAGCGAAGGAACCGATACATTTGAAGTATTACGAATTTGTAGGTGCAACGAAAAAATGTTTATCGTCTCGAATCGTGCTCTGAGAAAAAAAATCCATTTGTCCAAAAAAATATTTCTTTCAAATGGTACCAAGGAAATATTTTGCAAACTCCTTTACTTTAGAAAATATTTCTTCGGTTCGATGAAATTTCTGTTTCAAGGTCCCGTTCAAAGAAACGCATCTCTGGTTGAATGACATTTTTCCCTCGGGGTAAAAACCGCAAGTCGAGCGATCCGCTCCCGGAAGTCGGCCGGCGACTTCCGGCGTCGCGACGTCCGCGATCCGCGGAGGATCCGCAACGATCGGGCCGCAATTAGCCGGCAATTGGCGGGCACTCGGAAACGCATCCGGTGGAAGCGAACGAAACGTCCGGTCGGAGCTTCGGTTCGGTTTCCTTCCGCCCCCTCCTTTTTATCCCTAGGGTCGGATGGGGATGCGCGCGGGGGCGGCGGGGTGAGAGGTCAGACGAGAGGGCGGCAGCCAATGGGGACGGCGAGTCAAGTGGGGCGCGAAAAATGGGACGGTCCGCCCTCCACCCTGGGGCCAACGGGGGAGGGTAAGGGCGAGACGGGGCTAAGGGTGAGGGTAAGGTCGCCCTGGAAGGGGCGCCGGGGCGCCCCGACGCCCAGGACGCCGAGTCGCAGGGTCAGTCGGGTCGCAGCCCTCCACCCCGGCACCCTTGTCCGCCGTGCTCTTTGCCCTCCCCTCTGCCCGGGACTTCGCTTCTTTCCTTTTTTCTTCTCTTCCTTCCTGCTCGACCCGTTCGACTTTTCCAACCCACGGCGCCGGCGCATCGCGTGCGAGTCGCGGTACGCGGTCGCGAAGAGCGGACGAGCCGTAACGTCTCGCCCGCGACCGAAACGGTCGGAGAAAATCGTACCGATTTTTTTCTCCTTTTCGGCGAAACCGAGCGAAACGACTTCGATTTTTTTTTCCCATCGCTAACAGGTCGAATCGAGGGGCCATCGATGCTCCTCTTCCTTCCGTTCTTCTCCCGCAATTCGAATTATTCATCCCCCGGTGATGGCACGTAAAACGGTCCTACAAAAATCGACGCGTTTAATTTGACACTTTTTCGAAGCTCCCGCGGAACGACTTCGATTTTGTTTACGATCAGCCGATCGGTTTCGCGTGTATGGTGCAAAAGCATCGTATGCGTTCGTCTAATTTTTCGAGACCGACAGGCTCCACCGACGAAGACCAAACTCGAATATGCGAGCATCTAAATGCGTCGATCGACGCGACCTCCTCCCCCGTTAGGTTTTCGACTCTCCGTCGTATCTTTAGAGGAAGGGACACTCGATCCGCCGCGGCCGCACCGTCGACCGGGGCGGAAATAGCCCGGCGACGAGATCGGCTCTGGCACTGGCCCTCTTGAACCGGAGTCAATAATGCGGCCTTTGACAGAGCGGCGATCTAAAAGTCGCCGTTGACGTTGCAGGGTCAGATTTAGTCTCCGCGACCGACGCCCGGGCGAAATTCTCGTCGCGGCCGCCTCTTTGGCTTCGGCGGATTCTAACCCGCACCCTCTCCGAGGCGAGGGGTAAAAAAATCGAGCCAGGTGATTCCGCGTGGGACGCGGTCGCCCATTGTCCCAGGGGTCGTCCGGCCATTGTCGTCGCGACGCATTAGCGGGGTGGACACCTGGCGACACGGAAGTTGGAGTACCCGGGGGTGGGGGAGTTCCCCCCGGGCCGCGACGCGGATCGCGTGTCGAAAAATCCCGGCCACCCCGAGGAAGCGTCGAGGAGGGGTTTCGCCCCCGCGGCCTGCCACGAGTCGGTCGACTTTTGGTCGACGAGGGTGGGTAGCCGGGGGGCGCCCCCCGCCGAGAGGGTGGGCTCGACTCGACGAGGGGGTGCGCGCCGAACAATGCGTTCGTTCGATGCGCTCCAGATATGATTACCGGAAACCATCCCGTAATTACTTTTTGTACTTTACGCGCCCCCGACCCCCGCGACTACCCCCGATGCCTACCCCGATATGCGCCCCCCGGCCGCCTTTCGTCACGCACTTTTTCCCGCATCTGTCGGCGATTAGCGATATTTTCCATTTTTTGGGGAGTTCCTTGATAAGAGGGAATCTTCGATTGACGTTTGCTTCGAAGTAGGAGAAAAACCGATCTTGGTCGTGCGGTCGTAATTTTGCGGTCTTCCCCTCCCGGTCTCGCCGTCTTGCTCCTCCAGTCTCCCGATCTCGAGATCCCGATCCCCGCCGAATCAGCTGATCGGAGCTTCTTCGGATGACTGCCGCCGGTAGGGCGAAAGTCTCGGCCGCGATCACGAGCCGATCGGGGGCACCCGCGGCCCTGCATCCCGCAGCGGAGATATTACCGCGGACTGTCCGCCCTCCGCGGCCCGCAATCTTAGCGCGTCTTTGATAGGTTTATTACAGCGAAGTACCGTCCGTGTGCCCGGCGTACACAAAGCGTCGCGGAGCTTTTTGATCCGTGGAGCCCAACCGGAGGCCCTGGTAAAGCTGGCGTCGATCGAAGCCCCCGTCCCCCTCGCCCCTCCACGCTCCACCATCCTATTTCCACTTCGCGAAGAGCCAAGCAGAGGGTGAAATTTCCTCGCGTCTTCCCCGGGCACGTCGAAAAGAGCTTTTGAAACCGGCGGAAAAAACGGCGGCCGCCGGTCTCCCTCAAAGGGGGTCCAGGTCTCGATAGAGAACCTCTGCCACGAGAGGAGCTTGTAGGTAGGTGCCTATATTATGAGTGCGTTCATATTTCCTGTGTTGCCGCTCCTCCTTCCCTTATCTGCTTTCTCCTCGGAGCCCTTTTGTTCGCACTCTTTCGACTGTTAATGCCGCGAAATTAACTCCAAGAGCGAGAGACGAGATAAAGGGAGAGCAAGGAGAGCCAGAAGGGGTGAGAGAGGGAAGAGCGAGCAAAGGAGGAAAGCTGCGAGTTTAAGAACTGCTCCGCGCCTCGGGGGGGGGGGAGCTGCCCCCCGTCCCGGGGGGTGGCCTCCATTGTCCCGCGAAAGGTATTATTTTATCATTATCAGTAGCGGGCGGCCGCGCTTAATTAATTTATTTATGAACTCACGAGCTTGAGCACCCGTTCGCCGGGTTTGCCCCCCTCCACCCCCTTCTTGTCGCCATTTTCAGGGAAGATCCGCAGCCCTGGAAAGTTTTGGGGCTTATCATCCAGCTTATCGCGATCGGCTCGACCGGAGGACTCGACTTGCCCGGTCTCTCGTTATTACGGATGCAATTTGTCTCCGGGGTCGCCCTCCACCCTCTGAACTTTGCCGTCAACCCTTCCGATATGACAAAAATGACTCTGGACAAAAATATTGCTAGCCCATTTTCCAGGGTTCGAGTTTGTTCCAGCAAGTGAAATGTCTGGTTACGGCGGCGAATTATTTTTCTGCGCGTGGGGAACGAGGACGAGTTCCTTCGTCGAATGTTTCGGGGACCACGGGGGGCCAGAGGGGCCCGAATGTCCAGCGGGCCCAAAAGGCCCCCTCGCTATTTTTTTTCCGAGGCGATTAATCTATAAATCAACCGATCTTCGGGAAAGCCGGACCCTCGATCCGGGATTTGCATAGAGGGTCGACCCCTGCACTGGTCAGGGCGACAGGGACCGGCGACCGGTAGCCGGATCACCTGCCCCGCGATTAGCCAGGGTCAAGATGGCCGCCCAGGCCCCGCTAAGACGGGCCCAAAAAGGAGGACCCTTTCATGAGAGTTTACGATAAATTAATGGTTTTCTGGGCCGGGACCTATGGGAGACCCTCTCTCACGGAGGAACATTCAAATCGGGGACAAACAGCGGACTGTCTCCTAATTATTTATGGTCACCCGTTGCAAAGCCGACGTCCGACAATAGGCTGGCATTAATGATACCATCCCCGTCGAGGGGAAGTCGGAAGGACGGGAGAGGGCGAGATCTTCCGCTGGTCGCTAATGATGCCACATCAAACATACGACCCGGCCCGTTTTGCCCGCAGCGGATATTCCATCAATTCGGGTATTCTGGGCACCTTCCACAAAGAAATCGTCCCTCGCGTTCGTCCGGAAAATGGCGATTAGCCGCCCCGTTTGGTCTCTCTAACTTTTCTCCATTTTTCTGACTTCTCCCTCTTCGAGTTGCTCGGATAAAAATTTTCGTCCGCGCGTCCACCCAGTTCGGAGAAAAGTCTCATTGGCGAGACCTCTGACGCGACTATCGCATCGCCTTGACTTTCCCGAATTCCCTAATGATTCCCGTCGGCGATCCCGGACACCCCGAGGGGACTCTCGAGGGGAGGAAATTGGAAAATTCGCTCGAATCTCGTAATGGTCCCACGGCAAACACTGACCGCTGGTCCTGTAGAGTAGTTCCATCAATCTCCGGGGAATCGACGGGCCTTCGACCGATTTCCACGTCGA